CTTAGAAAATTAACAGAACATGTACAGTAATTTGGCCAGGGGTGCATACAACTGTAAATATGGGAAAGATGTTAGGTGTCTAAAAATGAACACAACAGCTGAAAAATCTAATGATATAGAAAGTTTAGACATTGTATTGTGCAACGTCTGTGTTCTGGCAGCTTTGTTTTTGATTTTTTGAAAAAATCTTGGATCTGTCCATTAAGCTTTACCGTCCTGTTCAGGAACTTTTTCCAATTTTAATTCCAGACTTTACTTTATGTCTTTATAGATGTTCAACGACAATTGGTTATTGAAGTATTGATAACAGCAAACTAAAAGAAAACTGGTGATGTCTCCTAATGTCACATTGTCCATTTGAAATGCACTTTAGATTACTAACTGCTGAATGACACACCAACAACAACTTACAGGTCCCACATGTTTGTGGGAATGATCACTCTTGATGATAAAACATGAATCATGCCTTTGAAGGATTAAATGGGATAAAAAATCAATATGTTCTAACACATAGCTTCAATGTATTAATAGTTATTTTTCATTTGCCATCTGCCATCTGGCCCTGTTAATCTAAAGTATATAATAAAACTGTAGCAGCTTGGAAAAAGCTATGGATGACCACGGATGGATGAGTGGCATAGACAAGCAGAAAAGCATAAATTAGTTTTTGAGATTTTGCACAGATAAAAGCATGTAGGACATTGACCTAGCCAGTTCTGAAAGCTAAAGTTAATTCAGTAAAGCACAAAATATTAATATCCAAAAATGAAAAGTATTCAGTAATTACAGTACAATTTATTTAAGAAACTTAAATACACATCAATTTTTGCATCCTGTGAATTGTACTTTTTATAGAGAGATGATAAGACTTTATTGATCCCGAAGGGAAATTGTATCATTTTAGTAATGATAGACTTATACATAAACAAAGAAAAACAATTTAGTAATGTCGAGAGCCATAAATGAAATATTTATCTGAATATTAACAAACAGTTTCAACATTGAAAAAAATGTAAAGCTCTCAAATGACAGTGAATGATTTGTGGAATGTTGTCAGGAGAAGCCTCTCTAAAGTTGACTCCAGCAACTTTCCAGGCTACTGTAGGTTTGCAAGTGGCACCATCTTTCTTGTTAACATTAAGCTCCTGTTAAGCTTCAAAAGATGAAACATTTGCTGAGTGGCTGCTGCAGAGGAAGATTCCCCAATTTTAGATTAGATGGACAGAAACAATTGGGGATTTTAAATTGTCTAGTATATAAAATGAATAAATGTTGTACTAATGTTCTAAAACCAGTTTACCTTAAATAATAAGTCTAGTATTTTGCTTAATTTTACATCAAATTAACAGTCTTGTGGGTAGCAGTAAATATGCACGTTTGTGTAACGTGTAAGGGTAACATCATAAAGTACATACAGTATACACAATTTTGATAAACTGTAGTAATGTTAAGGATTACTTGTCTCAGTTTACTGTATAAGAACAATAATCTATAAATATAAAAACTATAAATGGACTATCATACTAGATAAATCTTTATTCTTTGTATTTGTCAAATACAGAAGATACCTTTTTGAGAAAAAAAAAGATATTTGAGCAGTGGTTAAATCAGGGGACTAAAAAATCACCATGAATACCAATAATATAAAATTAGTTTAAGGACTACGTGTATTAAGTTTCAGTATAAACTCACGTACAGAGAATGAATTTTATTTTTTTTCCTTTAAGGCATATCAGTGCCTCAGTCTGTCAGTGGCCTCCTACACACAGACGTGTTGGTGCTCAGCGGATTCCTGGTGTGAGGCCTCCTCCTGCTGAATTACAGAGTCATTGAAAACCTAAAGTAATACAGAGAAATACATAGGAATTGGTTAGGATCATGTATTAATCAGTGGTCTAAAATGATTATTACTAGTACTAGCTATCTGTAGAGAATTATTATGAACAGGCAGACAAGTTAAGTCAATTCAAACTTAAATTGAGATTATTTGTTAGTTTGTGTTTTTGTTTGTCCTAGTTATAATGCATTCCCCAGTGCATTTAAATAAATGTAAACCTTGATCTTTTTTTACTTTTTCTTCTAAATTTTCTGTTTATTAGAGTCGAACGCCTTTATAAACACAATGACAAAGTAATGCAAATTAATAAAATTCTGATGGTCCAACTCCCTGAAAGCATTTATGGAAGAAAATACTGTACAGTATATAGTTACTTCCAAACATGAAATTTGAGGCAGCACCTGCCAAAACCAAATGTAAATAGATTGGGCAGTAGTGTCTTTAAACATTTCACAGTAAACAAGAGCAATTTGCTGTTGGTCTCAATGGCATACAGTGAAGGAGGGAATTGAGTTAAACATTTTTGTTTGTGAAAAAAGTGTCTGAAATGTTTATGGTCTATCTAAACCTATGACATTGGTGCTTACTTGCACCATGGTCAGTTCTAAAGAGCTTGTCAAAGACTATGCTTGTTTTCTTTATTTTGCAGCAAATGTTCAAAGCTGCTAATGACAGGATATTTAGTAGTCGTGGAGAAATCAAGATACCCCTTGCAAAGACGCAGTACCATTCCCCAAGGCTAATCAGCTAAATATAAGAAATCATTTATAAATATCTACTCTCTTCCTCCCTGACCTTTTGAAAAATATACTTTTCGCTTCCTAGAAATGCACTTGGCATGTCAGCCAGTGAGAAGGGACAAATTAATTCACTGACCATAAATAAATGCTTCTACAGTTATATTGGGTTGCTATGGACACTGCACCCTGTGAAAGCTCTCCCTGTATGTACTACTTGATTTGCAGTTGCAATATGTCAGTTTTGATTTTGTTACATTACATACAGTAAGCATACAATAAGATGCATTGCTGAGCCCATTTTTGACAGTGAATCTTTCACTCACTAGATGTTTAATAGTCTCCTTAGTTATTTAATATTTAATTTTTAATAGTATGGATAATCACCCACTAGAAAATTTTAATGGATATATACAGTACAGTATATTTAAATAGACCATATTGACAGTGGAAGATTTACCTCTCATGTCTGATTTCCGGTACTGCTAGGGTAAAGCCAAGAATATGTTGTCACACTGCACGAGGTCTAGCAGGTTGAAATGGTTCAGTAATGAAACAAACAAGCAGGTACACATTTCTATTTCCAGGTAGCAGAGATGTGGAATAATATATACTTCCAACAGTGACATTCCCTGCAGCACTAACAGCCTCTCAGCCACCTATTCCCAAATGAGTGTGATTTAAAAAAAAACAGGATCCAATGTGTTGCATTTTCACTTTAAAGCAAGAGATAAAAAAGCATTGCCTTTACACCAATTTGTAAAAAGGCCCATTAAAGAAAAAATAACTCTAGATGGAGATTAGAGATTACAGCATAGTACTGTGTTTAATCAAATATTTTTAGGACATTTAATGATGATTACGTCTTTGCCCAAACCTCTTAAAAGATCTGAGACATTGGTATAGTGGTACAGATGCAGCCATTCAGAGTGCGCGGTACACACACGTACCGGAGGTAATTGGCTACGGCGACACGCATTGTGACGCACGATGACACGCGGTACCGCAGTACGTGATTGGTTGACCCACAGGGGCACTCGTGGTCCGTTGGTCTGTCATAGAAAGATTTACAGTAAACATCGTTACTGTGCCCGTTGTAGTATTGAATATTTTTATGGAATTTTACCACTGAAGGGAAATCTTAGTACCTGAGCATAAAAAGAATAGGAGCATACTGAAGGCCATAAACGATATTAATTTTGGAACTTAAACATACAGCATATGGCTGGTCTCGGTACTTTAAAGAAAACATACACACCAGTATTCCATTTCTCCCTAAACATTTTAAGCATCGAAGTCTTTAACTAACGTGATACCGGAGTCAACAAGCATACTTTTAGAATTTGATTAAAAGGGAATATAATATGGAATCGCGTATCTAAAGAAATTAATAACGATATAATTATATTCATGTTGCAAAAAAACTGCAATTGACATAAAAACTCCCTTGCTTTTAACAGAGCATTCCATAATTTCTAACTACGAAAATTATTTAAACTGCGACACTTATCATTCGATGCTTAAAATGTTTAGGGAGAAATGGAATACTGGTGTGTATGTTTTCTTTAAAGTACCGAGACCAGCCATATACTGTATGTTTAAGTTCCAAAATTAATATCGTTTATGGCCTTCACAGGCGTTACAGTATGCTCCTATTCTTTTTATGCTCAGGCACTAAGATTTCCCTTCAGTGGTAAAATTCCATATAAATATTCAATACTTAAACGGGCACAGTTAAGACATTAAATATACATATACATACTGTATACAGTACAGTTTGCATACCGTAATATGTTTATGTTCCTAAATCAATCTCTTTTATGAGCATGTGAAAGGCATGGTGAATCGATTCTCAAAACTTACTGTACTTTGCATGATTGGAAACAAATACGTGATTGTGAAATGCTGTGGTGTTACTTTTACAAAGACGGTCAAAGAAAAAAAGAATGTGGACCAGGGCAATACTTTGAGTTTACACTTACAGATTGTCCAAGGTCATTCATTATTAATACTATTAGTAATATCTTCGTTAAAGACTTTGATGGCGACAGCTCAAACATGAGAGGTTGAGCTTTATTAGCTCCACCTTGTGGAAATTCCGGATACTATTATTTTGCTTGCGGTATTATAGGAGAATTTACGGTAACTAGCGGTATTTACTGGTAACTCGCGGTAGACTGCGTACAGCGCATCGGAAAATAATGCGGTATCCCCCGCGCATTTTGAATGGCTGCATCTGTGTGCAGTGTTTCACGATCAAAGCATGGTCCAGAAGAAAAAGAAAAAAAAGAAAAGCTGTTTGAATACCTGATTTCTTAATCTCTTCAAAGAGAACTCAATTTAAATGAAATTGGTATTTCAGTCATGTACAGTATTATCTTCACTATGTATGTCAATTACATGGCAGTCATAATGATCCTCATTAGCTATACAGAGGGCACCATGTTTTTGTTTATAAAAAAAACAGTCACACTCATCCCAAGCGAAAAATCCAATATTACCTGATCTAAAGTGGTTTGGCTGATGGAGCAGTGCTCAATTTGGAGGCTCTCTCGGTTTTCTTCTAAGAGCCTGAACAGCTCTAATAAGTAGCCTTCCCTTTTAGGTACCCAGTACTCAGTCACCCCTAGGTGCTGCTCCTGTGAGGCAACACATACTGTAGATCATTAATAAGTTTTTTTTTCTGTGCATTAAAACCATCACACACACAACTAAAACTGTGATTCTAGTTTAACATTACAGGTAAAGACACTGAGATATTCTAATAGAAAGACCAAAAGCAGTCTTCAAATTATTGAGCAAGACATGTCTGAGATTGTGTTCTATCAGTAACAATTATTATTCACAGAAAATATGCTTGTGATTAAGAAACACAATGAAGAAATATTCTTTCATTACCTTCAGGTATGTTCCGGGGAAGTGCAAAGTCAGAAGGTGAGTGAGTACTTTTGGGTCTGATGAGTCTTTGCCAAGCCTTACTTTAACTGAGTAACCTCTTCCATACCTGAACAAAATAAGGAGATGGTTACAGGTTATTGTTCCCACAGTATGAATTTGTTCATTCAATTGCTTTTCCTTCATGCTTACTAAGTAAATAATCTCTTAAGACAGGTTTCAATTTTCTAACAACATTTCCTTGTTGTGTATTTTCCAATGGACTTGATATTTTAAAGTCTGTTGGGATAGACTAGCTTTTATTGTCTACTATAACTGTATGATACATAACATTTTCTGAAACAACTATCTTAGACTGTATTTATTTATATATTGCTTATATAAGTGCTATATTTAAAGACCTATATAAGTGTAAGCAATTATAATAATAATAATTATTATTATTTGTTAAAATCGAAAGGAACAATATGAATAAAAAGGATAGAATTTATAAATGGATATTTGTTTAAAATATATCATAAAATATAACGCATTAGGAATCTAACTGATCAGCATTTTATCTAATTTCCTTATCCCAGAACTTATTAACCATGACATTAAAATTCTTAAAGCATACTGTATGTATATAAATATAGCACTATATTCTCTGTTATATTGAACAAGTTCATTATGGGACATTTGCTTACATTCACTTATTTTCATTACAGGAATGGCTAAAATTCAGTAAAATTATAAATTATAAGCTATTTAAACAGAAATGATGCATTCAGTCAATTAAGTCACAAGGCAAGGCGTCTGTGAATTTCCAATTAATTCATTTTCAAAGTTTAATCGAGAGCATTTTTATACAGCTCTGAAAATTGAACTGCTGCAAATGACTAAAAGAGAAAACTCAGAAGGATTAGAAAAAAATATTCTTAGGTCCATTTAAATACTATTTAGAGTGTTTCTCATGAATTTGGTTTGGAAAGCATTAGGCAGAAAATACCAATTAAGATTTATTGGAGCACATAATTAATTTAACTTACATTTATTAATATGGTTATATGAAGAGGGTTAATAAATATTAAATGCAATTCAAAAATGGTATATTAATGTAAAAATTAACATAGAAATGCATGTTTTGGTCAAAATAACTCATGCCTCTCAGATCCAGTTATCGGTATCATTTCTGACATTCATAGAATAGCAAAGATGCAAATTGTCAACGTTTTACTTCATAACCCTCTTACTCCTTCAGTTTTTACTTATTCAGGTTAATAACCAATGCAGACATCTTTCAACATGATGTATTGCCATAATTTTGTAGTGCTTGTCTCACAAATGAAATAAACATATAAAAATAAATTTGAATTCACTTGAAAATGACTGTACATATACCAAATGAGAAATACAACCACATGTTCAAGATAACAATATACAGAACATACTCTATACATACTCACATTTATATTCCATATACAGTATATTATATACTGTATATGTGGACACAGACACGTGATTAGAGATAAATTGTTGGATTTTAATATAATACTGGCCTTAGATGCTTACCTGACATTCTCCTCCAGAAGTTGTTGATACAACATGGGATACATTTATGATTCCATTAAAGATAGGAAACCGTTCAGGAAGCATGATACACCTCTATGATTGATTTTGCCATGAAAAATATTTTGCATTGTGGTCAAAAACCTCAATCTCTGTCCAGAGAATATAGACTTTGGAAAACACGACATGATCAGCAAGGTTCTTTTTAGAAACAATGGTTAAGTGTGTGGGTGGCATGGTGGTGGTGTTAACATTGCTGCTTTACAGCGCTGGGGCCTTGGGTTCAATTCCAGGCCTGAGGTGCTAGGTGAACTGCATGTTCTCTCTGTGTTCATGTGGGTTTCCTGTGTGTGCTCTGCTTTCCTCCCACAGTGTAAAACATACTGGAAGGTTAACTTGCTTCTGGGAAAATTCCTCCTAGGAGTGAGAGTGTGCAAGTCTGTGTGTCTGCTCTGCCATTTACTAATATCATGTCTAGGGTGTACCCTGCCTTGTGCCCATTGCTTGCCAGGATAGGCTCTGGCTCCCCTGTGACCCTGAGTTGGATAAAGTGGTTAGACAATGCATGGATGGTTACTTCTTGGCTGGTCTCCTATTAAAAACCTTTCCCATTCAACTTTTTCCTGATATCTGAAACATGTGAGAGAGGCATCAAGATCCTTAGATGTTACTTTGGGGTTCTTTGTGAATTCCTGGACAATAAGAATTGCTCTTGGGGAGGTCAGGGCAGGACAACCTATCCTGGGTATAATCACCATAGTTAAATATTTTTTATTTGTCTCTTCAAATGTAGAGGCATTTGTAGATTAAACAAGGGTACTGGGGTAACACTCTTATAATTACAGTGGCATTTCAGAAACTTTTTTCTTGACATGGTAGCATCTTAGTAGAATCTTAATTTATCTTATACTCTGCATAAATTAGTTTTTAAATTTAAATGACATTTTTTTACCATTTTAATCATAAAGAATAAAACAGCTAAGCAGAAATAGGACCACAAAACCTGCACCTGCTGTCTCAAATCTGACAGATGTGCTGTCAGACGCACCGTTGTGGAGCTGCGCAGCTTTCTAGGGTTGGCCTCGTATTACCGGAGGTTTGTCCAGGACTTCTCCAGCATCGCTGCCCTGCTGCACCGTCTCACCGAAAAGGGCCGCCGTTTTGACTGGTATTCCAGCTGTGAGATGGCCTTTGGCCGCTTATGTGAAGCTCTGGTGGGGGCCCCCATGCTGGCCTACCCTGACCCATGGTTACCTTACATTTGGAGTGACTTGGGGCTGGGCACGGTGTTGGTGCAGGAGGGGCCTGATGGGGAGCAGGTGGTCACCTTTTACAGTAGGGCTTTGAGTAAGGCTGAACATAACTTCTGCGTGACTTGTCACAAGCTGCTGGCAGTGATGGCAGCAGTCCGCCACTTCATGTCGTACTTGTAAGGGACCCCGGTTCCGGTTGTGGACAGACCATGCATCCCTAACCTGACTGCTCCACTTCAAAGAGCCAGAGGGGCAGATGGTGCAATGTATAGAGGTCCTGCAGGAGTACAATTTCAGGAGCAGGAGCAGGTGGGGGTGGATGTTATGGGCCAGTTTCCATGCGCTGAGGCAGAGAACTGCTACATCCTGGTGGCAATGGATTACTTCACCAAGTGGCTGGAGGCCTTTGCCCTACTGGAGGGGATGTTTGCCAGGCTGGGGGTGCCAGAGGAGTTACACAGTGTCCAGGGGCGTAACTTCGAGTCCCAGGTCCTTGCCAGGGTGTACAAGCTCCTGGGGATTTCTATGATGCGGACCACCCCGCTGCATCCCCAGAGCGACAGGTTGGTGGAGCGGTTCAACCGTATGCTTGCCACCCAGCTGGGCACCCTGGTGTCCTGGCACCAGCGGGACTGGGACCGCCACCTTCCCCTTGCGCTGTGGGCATATTGGACCGTGGTCCAGGAATCTACCGGGTGCACCCCTGGCCTCACTCATGCTGAGCCGGGAGATACGAACCCCGGTGGACCTGGTCTTCTGTCCGCCTCCTGGAGATGAGTCGGCACTTGTAGCCAGACCAGACTACGAGTGGGACCTGTGGCACTTGATGCGGTGAGTGCACAGCTTTGCCCGGACCCAACTGACTCCGACTGGAATCCAGAGACACTACAATCTGCGCTGCAGGGGGCCTGCCTTCCAGCTCGGGGACTTAGTTTGGGTATACAGCCCGCGCCACCGCAAAGGCCTTAGCCCTAAGCTGGCACTGTCGTGGGAGGGGCCCTCTGAGGTCCTCGGGGTGGTGGGCAAGGTCTGCTACTAGGTCCAGTTGCGAAAACAGGGGAGACTGGTGGTCCTACACCGAGACTGAATGACACCCTACCGGGTCTGGGAGGAGGACCCTTGCAGGGAGGCTCTGGGAGAGCAGCCGGGGCCCACAATGGGGCAGCTGGGGGTCGCCAACTGCCACCGTGGCTCAGTGGCCACGGTGGGAAGGGTTCCACAGTCATTAGCTTACTATGAGTACAGGAAGGAAGTGCACCTAGGTGCTGAGGGTACCGCAAAGCAAAAGGTCCTTAAGATGACCAGCAGCTGACCTTACTCGAGTTACCACCCTAAACCTGTGTATGTGTTCCGTCAGTCCCCTAATGTGTGTGTGTAAATCCTGTTGTTGTTTTTTTGGTTGTAAAATAGAATAAAAGCTGCTGCTTGTTTCCCTATTTCGATTCTGCTTGTCCTTTGTCCTGCACGAACCTGTAAGCACTACAATATTTAAAACAAACATTTTGTATCTGTAGCAAAATTTTGTATCTGTAGTTGGACTGTATTGAGTCCAACGGATTTCCTCTAAAATGTAAAGCACACAAAACATCAGCTGAATTTAATCCTGAAGTGAAACACTTGTTAATCTCCCCAAAAATGAAACAGAATTTATTAAAAAGGGAAAACCACTGCTATAAGATGAAATGGTTTTAATGCAAAACCAAACGTTCAATATTTATTCACATAAGAAACGAAAAGCTTTAAATTACTGATGAGAACTAATTTCTTGACATCCTGAAAATTATTTGCCAATGGTTTTCATCTTTTTTACCTCACTGCTTCTTATTTTATTTTAAAACAAAATGTGATTTCATATGTTTTAAATAGTATCCAAAATGTGTACACTAAAATATGGTGCTCATAAGGTCTTCACTTGAAGAGTAATAAAAAATGAAAAATACTACTTGATCTTTTAAAGAGTGAAAAATGAACAACATACATTAGTCAAACATTATTCAGATGGGATGGGTAATGAAGGCTGTGATATTTAACTTGCATGAATTTAATATGTGTGTGGGTCATTCTAATTTATAATAATAAAAGGACAGATGCTTCTATTTAAAATGTCTGGTTGCATTAAATATCTTCAGAATAAGTGTGTGACAAAGAGACCAGTATGCAAAGACCTGGCAGCAATTTCACTTTTAATGAAATGGCTCCACTTAGTGTGATAAGCTTACCTATTCTTGACATGCTGAGGAGACATCTGAATTTTCCTTTTACCATTATAGCCAGCCGTGTGCAGAATGCTTCACATTCCTCCATGCTATACAAAGAGAAATGTTACTCTGAAAATGTTTATTGAATGAAAAAAGTGAAACTCAAACACACTGTAAAGAAATTACTTATCATCCAAAACTATACGATATACAGTATATAGAAATATGTATATAGAAACAATATACAGTCTTCTCAAATAATTCAGTATCTAAAGGGTCATTTGCATCTTGTTTTTGTATTTAAATTGCAAATCTACAAGTAACTGTTGAGTATGAAAGTGTATATTTATATGTTGTACAGTATACAAAGTCACACCTACAGTATACTGTATGCCATTATATGGATGAGTGTCTTAGACATTTTTGTGCTTGCAATTGTTTGTATTGCTGCTATTAATTTGACTTACAGTACAAAGCAGAATCAGGAAAAAATGAAACCTTTTTTTTCCAAAGAGATGGGAAAATAAAAGCTGTTGTGAAAACATTGAATGCAGATTGATAGTGGTCTGTGGATATAAAATTTACATTTTTATTTTAGAGCTACAGAAACATATATATGTATAATTATTCATTCAATATAAAGTAGTAAACCATAAAGAGAAAATGAAACAACAAACAGCATTGGTTCCTACAGTATTTTTAAACCATATTTCAAATGTAAGATCCCATTTTTTGCATTGTAATTACCAAGTCAAAAAGAATTCTGCATTGCATGGTTCTTTACTTATTGTTGTTTGGAACAACATGTTCAGCTCTGGCAGCCTACCAGAAGAGCTGGGAGAAGACTTTGTAAACAATAAGTTTCCTTAAGTAAAACTGGAAAGGTAGGCTAAAAGTAATACTCATTAGTAATAAAATTGGGATATTTCTAAAGCATTTCAAATTGATAGTTGTGGGAGGCACATACTGTACAGACAGTAGTAAAAGTTGCTTTGTAACTCCAGGGCGAAAACTGAAATGAATATGTGACTTATTGTTTGCAGAAAGGAATTCAAAGTTTAAAAATTTTGTTTTTAATATAACTCAAATTTGTGTTGCAGGGAAAAATATACCTGTGGAGATTAAAAATGGAAAAATGTGAAACAGAAATGTGAGAAAATGCGTAAATTAATTGAAGTTAGATTAGAGCCTTGAGGTTAAATCTGCATTTTAAATTAGAAAATGTTTACAACATACAACCACACACAACAGATACTGTAACAGCAGTGGCCAACCCTGATCCCGTAGCCACAATCCAGCATGTATTATAGATCACCCTTAAATCATTGATTTGTAAAGATTTGGAGGGCATATGTGTTTTCATCAATTTAGTAAGTTGATTGCTTTAATTAAATCAGGAATGGCCAGCTGTGGTCGTTCAGAATTGCAGGGTGCTGTTTTTTTCTAAACAATTTGATCTAACAATTCAGCTTCTTAAGCGGTCAAAACATTTTTGGAACCAATAACATCTGCTGCATTTTATTCTCTCTGTTTATTTATAGCACCTTGCAAAAATATTCATGATGTTGTCCCATTTTGTTAAATATTAAATTATGTATACACAAAACTTGAGTTCTCAGACTGAGCACTTTTATTGCAGAGGAAGTTTCCATGCAGGCTTAGCAGATTTTTTTTAGATGTACAGTATGTAACCTGGATGTATATGAAGCAGAGCAATTTGTGTGGATTTGCAAAGGGACAAATCACAAGTGAATAAATCACAAATCCATTTAAGGTTCCTCTCATACCTCTCATACAGTATGTACACTGTATAATATACATAATATTTGAATATAGTTCTAGTAAACATTAGAGAATACCAGCTACTAGGATGTAAGAATGCACCCATGTCTAGACCACATTCCCTAGAAACCAGTGGAGGAATGAGCCACTGCTCTTGGTTACCTGACCAGTTTCTGGAATACATTAGTTAGGTGACTGTTTAAAAAACAGGAAGTGGAGCCTTTTTGGGTCGATCAATCTGCTGTGTGGGAGCATAAGGCAGATCCTCTGTAGTGCACATTACTAGACATTGTGAAGAAGTTCAGTTAGTGGCTGAAGTGCAGCTTTATTTTTTTATTGCACTGTAAATAAAGCATGCTGGTGTTTTTTTTAACCTTACAGCTGTGTTTAAGTGTAGGAACAAGTAATAGGTTTATTCCATGCTGAAAAAAAGAAGAAAGAGAACACAACGTTTCGGCCTTGGAGCCTTCTTCAGGTGTGGCCTTCTTCACCTGAAGAAGGCTCCACGGCTGAAACGTTGTGTTCTCTTTATTCTTTTTTTCAGCATGGAATAAACCTATTACTTGTTCCTTTGCAGCCTACGCATGCTGACGCAGCTACCCACCTGAACTACTACCATGTTTAAGTGTATGTCTGTTGTCCTGGACCTGCCTAATTGAAAGGTTTTGTTACAGCACACTCAATGGGCTGTCACAAGGGATATTATATTATAGGTTAATTCCATGCTGAAAAGTTAAAAAAAGAGTCTTAATGTGTGTTTTTTGTTATTTACTGTATTCTCTATTTGTATCTTTGTAGCCTGCATTTGACACAACTTCCCACTCAAGCTGTATTCAATATTCTGTACTGTCTTATCAAAATGTTAGAGAATAACCCTTGTAGTAGATTGTTTGCCTCTCATAGTGGTTACAGTTACAACATATTATGATATAGATTCTACTAGGTAACTGTGAAGATAATGGAGAACTCAGTGGTATTCTTCCACACATGGCATTTGTCATGCCTGTCCCTTTGATTCAGTAGGTATTTGTGTCCTGATTTATGATTCCTTTTTTTATATAGCAAACACTGTCTGTAAATCCTTGAGGCTGTCAGAACTGACATTGTAACTGGGTCTATTGTCTTCATTGATGCATGTATAAGAGGTATGAGTGGCAGAAATCATGGGTCTAACATCACATTTCTTTTCAATAGCATGGGTCGCTGAGGGAAAAGCCTTGTCAATACATTATAGTCTGCTGGAATCATGGAACATTCCATGTTATAGGCCATTTCCACTGGATGGGCCATTCATATGAACTCTCTTATATTTTGGTGGTAGTTACTTATACAGTATATATAAATCTACATACTGTACAGTACATTTCAAAAGACACTGATGTGAAATGCACATACTTTCATTACACATCACTGTTTTATACATATACATTTCCCTTCAAAATATTAGGATTGCAAAGTCAAAAATGTATCATAGACAGTAGCTTTTATTTTTGGGTAATTCCATGCATATATAATGTACAGTATGATCATATTAAAACAAAAACTTACTTTGTGTTAAACCCAGTGATTTCCTGTGACTCTAAATATTGGGGCATACAGTCTTCATTTTCAGTACATCTCAGTTTGTAAAAGTCAATACTTGACTGCATATTCCTTTGAGGATATATTTCTTCACACTACCTGTGCGAAGCTTGAAACCCATTGAGCGCACTAAACTGTTATTGATTGAAATGCTTTTCCAAACCTTTGCTATGATCACTTCAATTATTCTTGGGTTTTTCTGACTTTTTTTAGCAGCATGTAAAATGCTTGATCAATTTAATTTAAATCTGGAGGTCAACATGGTCAGTGAAAAATTGTCCACTTCTTTCTTCTGACCGACTCCTGGGTTACACTGCTTGCATGTTTTAGAATATACTCATGCTGCATGATGAAGCTCTACTCAATATCCATAGAAGCATCTTTCTTCTATATCAGCAGACATTTTTTCTGTAAACTTCAGAATTAATTTGGGTGCTTCCAACATTAGTCATCAATACAGTATAAGTGAGTGAGCCATCCATGCCTAGGCCATAAAAGTACCTTAACATACTTCACAGATCTACTTGTACATCTTCACACATAAGCAATTATTTTCTTTCTCCACATTTTAATCCTTCTATCACTTTGGTAAATGTTTAAAATAGTTCAGGTGGGTAGCTGCGTCAGCATGCGTAGGCTGCAAAGGAACAAGTAATAGGTTTATTCCATGCTGTTGTAACAGAAGAAATAAGGTTCTTGATCCCGAGATGAAGTAAAA